CTAAGCCTAAGCCTACTGCATCTTGGCGAATTCACCGTAGTGTTCTGTTATTTCTATGCATCGACTAACTCAATAACTTTTACAAATATTTATCAAACAAGGATCCGCAACTTGATAACGAATACAAATGCAAACAGAATTGGGCTACAAAAGAGACCACGTTATTAACTCCCTGAAAATTGCCCCAACATTCACATGTGACAGTTATTCATGGAAACTATGCTAAACAGATTTTAAGAAAAAAAATGACGAAAGACGAGGTATCGACTAGTAGATTTCAAAGAAATTATAATCTTTGTTATTTCAGTGAGGCTGAAGGGTCGTGGAGATCGGTATAAATCTTATGAAACCTGGCTTTACGCGTCCATAATTTCTTCAATGAACTGCGAAAGGAACGCTGGTCGCCGTGAGATCTATGGAAATGTTATGATCAGAATTTTCTTCTTACCATAAGTAGTAAATGGTATTCCTTGTGCTTCTTTGAATTTCGTACCATCAACTCACAGAGCGTAAGAAGTTCTTGGAATCTGAAATTGATTCATAATACCATAGAGGGCTTAGAGCGGACTTCTTCATTCTTTTTCCCGTCCTCTCTACCTCTCTCCTCTCTCTCTCTCTCTCTCTCTCTCTCTCTCTCTCTCTCTCTCACTTACCTATTTGGCCCATGAGCGCTTCCATTCTTGGCCAATTCTGCAGAAAAGAGTGCTTCGCTGTATTTGAGTTTTGCGGTCTCGATAATTTTCCGGCCCTCGTCGGATAGGCCATCCAGCGCTGAAATTTAAGACCTTATGCAAAAAAGAACTGCCAAAGCATACCAGAATTGCAGAGCACGATCGCCTTCACGAGCACAAACTCGGTCTGGTCCATTTTTGTTCGTCGTAGGGCCTCAAGGTTGGAGACGAAGATGTTGTCCATGTATTGTTCGTTCCTGAAAGTTACGGTATGTGATGGTTGATTGTTAGAAAAACGTTTTCACTATCTTCCCGTTTTTATTTGCTCCTCCGTAGCGTAACTCACCCAGCAGGACCAAGGTGGTCGACTTTCCGCCCGCTCGGCTTTCTTCCGGGCATGGTGCCGTCAGGATGGAGCACATATCTCGAATCCCGGTTCACCAGAAAAGTATCATAGCTCTGCTTTAAGGCCAGTAGATTCATCGCCACGTATCGAGTAAGGACAAGCTGAAAATGTTGAGCTTAATCCGGTGGGTTCAGAATTGCATGGCTGTAAATTTTTCTAATGAACACGCATTTTCAGGTTCCTTTCGCCCACCTTATCCATCGGATCCAATTTCATGAAGAAATCGAATGTCTTTGCATATTCGATGGAAAGTAGCAGATCAAAGAACAGCCAGAATTTGTGGTTTGGCGGCCGTGGTGGTGGCTTGCCGGTGCCGGGCACGAAATCTTTAGGAAGCGGCGGGAAATCGGAGTCTTTCAGTGGCCAGTTAGGCATTGGCTGAAAAATATTCCATTTACAAAATTAAATTTAATCACCAAAAGGTGGTATCTCCCGGCTTCTAGGCCTTTCAAAATATCAATAAAGACCTACCGCCAACTTCTCAGCTAACGAAAGTGCTGTATGACTTTTTTAATGCCTCCTGTACACTGGCGATCTCGAAAATCATCGGGTTGTAAGTAGAATATCGTAGTTTGTCAACCTAAACGCTTAAGCAAATTTTTGCGAAGTGATACCTTGATCTCCAAGTACTGCAAGCTGTCGATCATCCTTTCGAAACTGTTCTCCTTTATCCGAAGAGCAATAAGAAGCTAAAAACATGTCTTTGCGTTTTTTTTTCTCTGCACCTTTGCATCCCTCGGCGGCTCGTCCACGTCGTCAGGCTCTTCTTCCCTCGGTCTCCTTTGTTTTGCCAATTTTTCATAGAGCTCCTGGTTTTGCATTTTTCGCTCGGTTTGGATTGCTAAATATAGAACATTGTAGGAAAACTGGAACTAAATATACCAGCTGGATTCATTCCGACTTCTACACATCTCGCAAAACGACATCCACGACATGGGAATTTGCCTTCTGAAAAGAAATTAGTTAGCAATGTTAGACTTAAGGGTATGTAAAAAATAGAAGAAGAAGAAAATGGAAAATTAAGCCTAAACCCACCTTGCAAACTTTTCTCCAAACAGCCACCACCCTCTTTACATAGCACTTTCCTTTGGCTGAGCAGGGCTCTTCGGAAAAACCTGTATTCAACGGGTTTTATTTTCAAGGTTTCAACTTACGTTTTACAGCCATTACAGCTCGGCACGTCATAGTGGAAGCCGGCGGTCTTGTTTCCGCAAACGACACAAAATTCGGGTGCTTGCTTCTTCGGCCAAGCGGCGAAGTTCATCAATGAAACGTCGGGCTGAAATGCAAATTTGTTTTGAGTAAAATGAATTATTACGGAACGGATCTGGGTGTAAAATGTCCAACCATCGAAACATGGGGGTCATGTTCGTGTTTTCTGCGCCTACTTAGGTTTTGTATAATAAAGTCGGGGGCGTTGGTATAAAAGGCACATTCAAAAGCATGATAGCCAATTTTCATGAGATCTTAAGACTTTTTTGAGATTAAACGTACGTAATCTTCACTTACCTTCAACTCCGGCGAGCTCAGCTCTTGCTCCTCCGCTTCCTGGCTGCTGAGACTATTTTTTCGCTTAGAATCCGCCGAGCCTTGGGATGAGCACGAGGGGCTCTCGCTTGAGGAATAGTCTTCAAATTTGGTCGGGAACACCTCCAAGTAGGCGCAGTCTGGCAGAGCCATTGCCTGAAAGGGAAGAATGGCGAGGAGAAACTGCAGCAAAGAGCACAAAATCCGAAAATAGAAAAACATCAATATTTGATTCGTAGAAGTTGAAAGTTTAAGAATAAATAGGAGACTATAAGTTATGATAACCAAATAAATACGCGAAATCATTAACAACGCAGCCTCAGTTTTTCTCCGGAGGGGACAAAATTTAAGTAGAGGTGGAAATGGAAATGCATTAGGAAACCTATAAGGCTTGCCGGGAAAAATAATTACTAATTTCCGGCAGTTCGTAATCCGCTTAAATCTCATATTTTACAATAAGTTAGGACAGTTAAAATATCAGGAAATGAACAATCACTAACCCTCCGCCATAAAAAGCGACGTCAGCACCATGTACTAAAAATCACAACCCGACCGCGGTTTGGTAAAAAGAACGTTTAATGGCCGTTAATCTCAAATCGGCCACACCCATCTTGGCATAAAAGCTTTGGGGGGAGAAAATGGGAGGAACAGCCCTTTTGTCCGCCCATTCAAACATAAAAATGATACTGATACAAGCAGAAAAACAGACAGACATGCATATACTCACGCGCTCCCCCTGTTCCGGCGCATCACTTTTTCGGTGTTTCTGCAAAGCACAGTCGCTTGGCCAAAGTGATAAGCCATCGGACTGTGATGGGGATCTCTGAAGGGCCATAAACCGGAACACGGCACAGATTGCGCCATTTTCCACGGGGATTCACACTCGATGCTACGGCGTGATTACGGATCCGGTTGGAGCGCGAACCAAAAAGTTTTGGGGGTCAAGGAAACAACATATTACTCCCAAAGGATTATAAGTTTCGGTCGGAAAACGGATGCGAATTTAGAAACAGGGTTCAAGCTGGACCGAAGAACAATGGCACGCTGGATAAGTTCTAGCAGAAATCGACCAGTTTAGGAGAGAGAGAGCGAGAGGAGAGAGAGAGCGAGAGAGAGAGAGAGCGAGAGAGAGAGAGAGAGAGAGAGAGAGAGAGAGAGAGAGAAAGAGAGATACAGCTTGAAAAATCTTCAGAATTAATATCCGAATTTCCTCGAAAATTGCGAAATTTCGATAAAATGCCCCATCCTTTTGCGAGGCACTAAAATTATAAAGAGTTAGTGGGAAAACAAAAGCAAATCTATAAAATGTCCTAAAAATGACATAGTCGGGGCGAGGCTCCCATGAGAAATCGGAGAATGAAAAATACACGCAAGAGCCGGCTGGGAAGCGCAACCGCAAAAACAATACAACAAGTGGCGTGGCAATGAAATTCAACGTTCCTGAAGATTGAGAATAATTATCGACAATAAAAGCAGCGTGCAAAAAATTAGACATTCCATCGTTTCGGGAAACGAGTTCAGCTGCAAGCAAAAGCAATGCGTAAAGATTTATTAGCATGCAAGATATGTAGGAAATTTTGATTTGCACTAAAATGAGATCAGCTTGGCTGCGCAAGGTGGTTAGAAAATTAAGAAAAGGTACTGGCCGTGCTATGTAAACTAGGGCGCGAGCATAGTGCATCAAAAATTAGAATTGAGCAGACGGCAGAAGGTGAGTGCGATAGTGAAGGAGAAAGATGGCGAGAAAAGGTGAGAAAATTCTAATGCGAAGGGCTGAAGCTCAAGCGTCCATAATTTCCTCGACAAATGACGAGAGCATCCGCGGAGGGCGAATTATCTAAACAAAATCTGACCGGGCTATGTTAATATACCACATTTAACAAGTGAATTTCCCTATGCTTCTTCGCGCTCCGGATTAGAAGTTGGACGATCGCGAGCAGCTCTTGGAATCTGATTTCTTGTTTATTATCGGGGTTTTTTTTGCTTTTCTTACCTAGTCGGACCAGCCGAAGTTCCGTGTTTTGCCATGGCATGAGATAGTAATGCTTCGGAATATTTATCTCTCGCTTCTTGAAGAATCTTACTTCCGGCTGGGGTGAGGCCTTCGACGGCTGAACTGAGTTTAAGATAGCACATCTTCAAAATACCAGTATCGCACAGGGCGATAGCCTTCAGGAGCACAAACTCTTTGCGTGCAATCCGGGAGTGACGAAATGCGGCAAGGTTGTAGGCGAATATCCCGCGTAGGTTGCTGGCACTGCAGTTTTGTTTTGGTATAATTTATTGAGCTTTTATAAGAAAAAAATAGTCTAATAATATAATAAATATAAAATAAAAATAATTACGCAAAGGCAGTCGACAATATGTGCTCTAATAACCTTTTTTTCCTTTTTAGGAAGCTATTTTCGTACGGCTAAAACCTACAATGATTGCGCCGAATCGCCGCGTTTTGTCCCGTCCGGGTAGATGACCAATTCAGCGCTAGGGTCCTCTTGAAGACTATAGTAGCACTGCGTAATCGTCGACACCACCACAGAGATATAGCGCACCAATGCGAGCTGATCCATCGTGCCGAGCTTCTCGAAAAAGTCGAAAGTCTTCGCGTATTCGATCGAAAGCAGCAGGTCGAAAAAGGGCCAGAATTTCTTGTTTGGCGGCCGCTGCCACGTGTCCGTGGGTTTCGTCCAGTCTCGTGGTTGTTGCTTTAGCGGCCAGTCGGGCATCGGCTGAAGGTGTAGAGAAAAGTCATAGATATATTATTGCGGCAGACCTTTAATTTTTGAGCCAAGTATAGCACCGAGGTTTTCTCCAAAGCTTCAGAAACATTTTTCAGGTCCAGGTGGTGAGGATTGTAGGTGGAGAGGCGTAGTTTTCTGACCTAAAATGAAAGGTATATTATTTTTTTGTTGAGGATACATTAGTTTCCAGATATAGCAACTCGTCAACAAGATGTTGGATCGAATCCTCGCGTAGTCGAGGGTTCATCAGAACCTTCAAAACCATTTTCAAAAAGAGCCAATTTACCTGCACGGTTTTTATCGGCTCGTCTTCTTCTGTATCGTCAGTGGATCGCCTTTTTGCGCGAATTTGCATGTACATTGGGTTTTTGTCCAAGTTTTGGCCAGTTTGAATTGCTAAAATTGGTTTTTAGAGATTATATGTAAATTTCCAAATTACCATCGGGATTCATCCCCATAGCTACGCAACGTCTGAATCGGCATTCTCGACATGTAAAATTCTCTAGAAAAGAAAAATCAAAATCGTGAAAATAAATTATTTGGTACTTATTTTCTTACTTACTTTCCAAAGTCAAAAAAGCTAAAATACATAAAAAGACTAAATGACTATGCTAAATTTTTCTAAAAACCTTACCTATTGACCCCTCGTAGCATCTGCCATCCTTCACGCACTTGTAGGATTTTCTGCCAATGATGACTCGCCGGAAAAACCTAAAGAGGGTTAATTCCGTTAAAAAATTCTAGGTTACGTTTTGCAACCATTACAGCTCGGAACATCGTAGTGGAAACTGGTTGTCTTTTGGCCGCACACCACGCAAGCCTCCGGTGGCAACGTTCTGGGCCAAGCCTTGTAGCAGAGTGCTGCTTTTTCGGGCTTAAATCGATCTTTAAGAGGAGGAAGCCGGGACAAACAGTGTATAATTTTCTACGCTCACCTTAATATCTGCTTCCTCCTGCTGTTCGAATGCAAATGAGGTCGTGGGAAGTTCGCTATCCTCGCGGGACAAGTTTTTAGGCTTGGCCATGCCTATAATTATGATTTTGCAAGCGCCAGTTATAGGAGAGAAGAAGCGAAAAAGTGGAGAAATCGGTGCATAGCGGATATAATTAGGGAAAGAGAAAAAATGCTGGAAAATAAAATAAAAGTAAAAAAAATCCGGCCAGGTAAAGACTTGGAAGTAAAAAAGTTCCGCGTCCGTCGTTGGGGTTCAAAATGAAAAACGTGATCCTAAGGCGTATCACGTAGTCAATAAAAGACAGCCGGCAAGGGAAATAATCCACTCGGAAGAACCGAAAAGCCAAAAATCTTGCGTTTCTCAAACGTAATTCAAAATGAAAATTTGAAAACACACATATTTCAAGCTATTCACTGAAAACAATTGACGTGGGTGGCAAAATAAAAAATTGCGGTAGCTATGGGAGAATGGTTAGTGGAAACAAGTCATGGGGAAAATGCATGCAGACAACGGTTCAGATATTCCACCGATTCCGTAAACGGCATAACCATCAAGCGCAAGCGAGCAAAAATGTGAACGTCAATAATTTATTGGCCTTGCGAGACGCAAGGACGTTATATGAGCACCAGCAGACAGATTACATTAATTGAGAACAACGATTGGAGATACAAGGAAGAATGTCTGGATTGGCCGGAGGAGTAGAATCGAACTGCGAGTTTGCGTTCAAAGTCAGAGTCTCGTTGCGTTTGGGCTAAGAATTAAAAACCACCGTTAAAATCTAAGCCTAGACACGGATGTAGTATAGGCAAGAAATAGCTGGAACTCATGCTCATGCGAAAGCTAAGGCTGAGGCTTAAGCATCCATAATCTCTTCGATAAACCCGGAGACGACTGGCGGAGGCTGGGCGATCTGGGAAAGACAATTTTCAAAGCTAACGCGTGGAAATTTGTCAGAGAACTCTAGGAAAAGGTGTGCAGAGAAATTTGTAAGAAAAGGTGACGTACTTTAGCTTAAATTTTCATGTTATTTCCGAGGGTCAGCTTTCAAATATTTAAATTTCTGAATATTTAGCATAATCTGTTAATAGGGGCGTCTAATACGTAATAGTGTCTCGCTCGTGACAAGCCATCAACAAGCTAGCTTGAAAATCTTTTCTAGCTTTATAGACCCAACTCAAGGGTGGGGCTTCATTAGCTGTTGCACCCGCCAAAAAGGTTCCTTGGAATACGAGTCACATTCGGTTCTTCTAGTACAAGGGATCTTCATTAAATTTTTGGCCCCGTTAGACCCGGGGCTGCAGGGGTGATGGACGCACCAAGTACTGCTCACACCCCGTCTAATTGCGGATTTTGACTTTTGGCCGCGGGCGCAAACAATTCGGACTCTTCTGGCCTAGGTGGGCCCTTTCCCTGGGTCTCCCCTGGGCCCTCTGACTTGGCCCTCCGCCTCCGAGATCAAACCACCACAACGAGAAGCCCTTTTCCGACCAGGCACACAGCACATAATAAAGTCCCTAGAACCACGAGTTGGCTGGGAATCCGCCTTCCCATTCAGGTGCACGGGAATCTAATTTATCGCCTCGGGAGATGTTCTCTGTTCCAGCTTGAAAGCGTTTTGGGTACGCCAAGACCAAAAAGTTCAATGAAAATTGGTGAGCTTTGTGACTCGGCGAATCCGAAGATCAACTCAATTTTGCAGAGCTCTAAGGTGTTATTTTTGGGTCCCGTGCGTGTTCTGACGGTCGAAATTGTTGTGAAAAACGCAGAATCTTGAAATATTAATTTAAAAATTAAAAGTAATTAACTTTGAAAATTAAATTTCTATATCAAGTTCAAGACGCCCAGGCCAAAAATATGGTGTACCCGAATGTATCCGCTTGAAGCCAAATCACTACGGTGAAACGCTATTCGAGGAATCAGAAAAAAGACAACGCAGTAAAAATGCCAGCACCAAGTGCAAGGCGTTCATCGAAAAAAGTCCCGACCGTATAAATCCGAGATCCAATGTAAATGCGCTATTTCTAGAGTTCGAGGGAAGTCCTTTAGTCTCCCATGCGGATACAGACAGCAAGAAAACGACTTAGTTCAACAAGTCCAGTGCGAACGCGTGAACCCTGTTTGCGAATGAATCCAAAAATCAAAGCGCCTCGGGCGGGGTGTGACCGAAGATTTTTTGGTCAGTCACAATACACAGTGCCCAATTTCTGTTCGCGTGATTTCTGTTTTGAAAAGATATGTAGTGCTTGGGATCGGGTCCTGCGTCGAGAGAGTTTTTGCGAATAAACTTGGAGTTAGAGCTGGTCTAGGGCTAGCGAACTGCTCTCGAAATGGGCCATAGACGCTTTATAAGTTTGCTAAAGGTTTTTTATATCCCATCTTATAGCATAAAAATTGGAATTTAGCCTGGTCATACAGGCGAGACGTCAAATCGAAAGCGCCGCGTCGGATTGAATTTCCGGAACATTCCATATGTGTACACCGGCCGGGCATTGAAACATCATTCAGTCGGAAAAGGGAACAAGAATGATGTAGCGAAATGTGTTGAGAGAGCAAATGGGCTTTGCCGCGCTGCCGACATAATATTTTGACGAGGTTAGGCTTCGGTTTAAGCTTAGGCTTAGACTTAACTTTTGTGCGTCAAAGCAACGTTACAACATTTGAGTCCGGATTGAATCATAGCCTTTGATTTGCGGCAAACTTTCGTAGCATAACGGGCAACGGAACAGCGTGCGAGACGCAAGGTTGGCATAATCGCTCGCCTTTTATGGCCTTTGCACTGTCGTCATGGGGCAATAAACGAAAAAAGAGGGATGCATGACTGCAGGAACGTTGTTCTGTATGCAGAAATTTTCAATTCAACCCAAAATTTAGAGCGTTCGGCGCCAAGCGTTCGGAATTCACAGCCAGGCGTGGGGGTTAGATTTTTTTTACAGCGCTCGTCTGTTAGGTGTATACCGATGGTCGCTAATTGGTCTTATCGATTGATCCCGGGCAGTGCGACAGTTTTCAGCCGGGCGCTCTCCCGGTAAATACCCGCAAATAGGCGCGGTAGATTCAACGGTCTGGGGCCCACGTGCGGGTGCACTAATGGTCGCTTTCTGCACAGAAAAATAGTATTTATGAAATAAAGGGTCTAGGGAACGAACGTTAATTGAAAAAGGGCCGTAGCCACGCGCAGCAAACGTCACATTTTCACAAGAACCTCGAGTGCGACTCCGCCTGGGAGGTCATATTTCAAGCTGCAATCGGCCGCTCAGGTTTCAAAGGAAAAAGAAACGCAAATATTCTGTTAGATTGAAGAGAGTTAAGCGTCTGTCAAAACCCAAACCTAGCTTAATTCCCTGCCTAAGCCTGAGTCTATATCTGCTGCTACGCCTAAAATTTGAGTCCGCAGTCTTACAAGAGACGTTTTTGAGTGTCGTCGGGACTTTGGCACGGGACCAAGCCTATCTTGTGCAGAATTTTACGCTGATTCCGAATATGTTAACCGTTTTTGCGGAATAGCCATTTCTCGAAAGTTATGAACGATTTAAAGCTCAAAACAGCCCAAAATCGGCTACTTTCGATAGTCGTAAAAGGCTTCGGAATAGGTTTTAGGCAAAACTTGATAGTACATCTTGTTCAGAAAAAAATTCTCTATAAAATAAGCTACTTAACTCAAAAATTCTGGAATTTTGAAAATTTTTGTAAAATTATGGATGGACCTCCCAATTTATCAAATTTTTCCAACTTTTCAATGATTTTGGGAAAGATAGTACATTTTATAGAGAATTTTTTCCTGAACAAGATGTACTATCTGGTTTTGTCTAAAACCTATTTTGAAGCCTTTTATGACTATTGAAAGTAGCCGATTTTGGGCTGTTTTGAGGTTTAAATCGTTCATAACTTTCGAGAAATGGCTATTCCGCAAAAACGGTTAACATATTCGGAATCAGCGTAAAATTCTGCACAAGATAGGCTTGGTCCCGTGCCAAAGTCCCGACGACACTCAAAAACGTCTCCTTGTTAGCTGAAGCCTGTAATCCTCAAGTAGACTAAGCTTCGGGTCAAGCTAGTAAGCTTGATCTGAGTACGGCATTCATTCTTCGCGGTTCAGAGCTCGTTTTTAGTGCAATAGTGGAGCTCATTCAGAAAAGCTCCGTCCCAACCGAATATGCAAAGTGGGCATAGGCCTTGAACCTGAGAGAGCATTTCGCAGTCAACCCAACAAAAGCCAAGCGCCTGCACGTGACAAAGCTCGAGAACAAGAAGTTCCTTTCGCACCGACATTCTACGTGGGAGCCAAGTTTCCAGAAATTTTCAGGTAAGATCAAGCAATAAGAGCACGAAGGGTGCACCCATCCTTGACCCCGGACTCGCTCGAGAGCGCGCCGGATAAAATCAAGTCCGGTGAGGACTTCAATGACTCGGCTTGCGACCCGTTTGGGTAGGAATGAATCCCGCTTGTGTGTTGTTAGGATTAGGCTTTGGCATAGACTTAGGCTTCAGCTAGGGCTTGGGCTTAGGTTAGACCCTAGCTATATCCGTAAGCAGGAGGCGGGGATTTATGGCCTGCGCTTGGAAACGTGCAAACTCAAATTCAAAATTCAAAAATTTCAATCATCCGCGGATCGCGCACCGGAAGAAGCCTTGCATCACGCGCAAAATCCCCAGCAAGCATAAGCACAAAATTACACAAAAATGATAAAAGACAAAGGCAACGCATCACATAGAACGCCTCCATTTTAGAAACGACCGAAGACGGGTTGCTAGGCAACGCCCACAAAGCTCAATGGAACAAAAACGTGGAGGCGGAAGGTTCCTGCCGCTACGCGTCCAAATGCTTGCTTAAATGAGCCTTTTAGACGGAAATTAAGGTGAGAAGCGCTGCGATTTGCACGGAAATCATAGTTTTGTACGGGCGAATAGGGTACGATGTAAAGTGACGGACAGCGGAGCGGTAAATTCTTTCAAAAACACGAAAATTTGTAAGAAATTCTGGGTTTGGTCAAAAAAGCAATACGTTACGATGTCAATGGTACTGAAAGTATGAGAGAGAGAGAGGGAGAGAGAGAGAAAGAAAGAGAGACTGAGAGAGAGACAGAGGAGAGAGAGAGAGAGAGAGAGAGAGAGAGCGGATGCCAAACAAATAAACATGGAGGAGATGTCCGATCGCATCAATCCGCTAGTCCCGAAAAAAAAAACAGGCTAAATTCCCCCATAACGAAGCCACAACCGCCCACTGTACCTCAAAAATGCCGATTTGCAACGTCACGAAACCGTGCGGGAAAGTGCCCCGTTTCGGACGCGCGTAATTAGGTGCTGTGCGTGAGCGCTCAGCAGGGGGGCTACCCCCAAAATCGACAAATCGATGCCCGGGGTTTTGCGTGTTGGTATGCCTGTCGGGCGCTTTCTGTCGCTTATTGAAGAGGGAGGGAGAGCAGCAGCAGGCTGTGCAAATCGAGTGGCGATTCGAGAAAAGGACGGCGAGGGAGTGCAGCCGGACTGTAGAATCGGGGGAGCCGGAAAGGGAGGCAAGATAGCAAACAGGCGAGCGGGCGAGTCACTCGCAGCGAGAGCACCGGAACAAACTGCGGGCTCGTATAAAGATGCATACTCATCGCTGGCTGTGTGCTTTGTGGTTTTTGGAAAGTGGACCCGATGAAAGGTCCAAAGAGACCAAGGCACAAGTCACAGGTCACAGGTGGAAATTGACGGAATCATTGCAGTAGTTATGCCAATAAATAATAGATTACACCCAGAACTCTATTTCGTGCATTAATTCGATACGATAAATTTTGAATCTTTCAAATTTGTTAGTTTCCTGCTGATAGAATAACTATACAATCCTAAGTGATCGAAACTCTCTCGGAAGTCTGTCTCTGAAGCTACTTAATGCGCCAGATCACCCAAAGTTCATTGCGTCCAATGTTCTCAAAAACCACGTGCTTCTCAGCTCCAGATAAGCACCCATTTCCCTCCTGAATGGACAGATTGCAGATTGGCGATCAGCGGAAATTGTAGTGATAATATGAGTCAGTCGGTTGCACATTGCGTAGCTAACAATCATATAACTGGTTGGACAAAAAAAATCAAAAATTTGTAGACGCTTAGAAGAGTGTGGTGACCAATCTAGATGAGTTGTCGCACCAAGATTGTAAGGTGGTAACTGACTCGAAAAAGGATAAACGATAAGGATTTTGTATAATGCGCTGGTAATGCTTCTAATAGATGAACCGAGCTGAAAACCTGGTAGCTGATAAACCGAGCTGAAACAGCTAGGGGGGCGGGCTGGATTACGGCTCGGTTGGAAGAAGAAGGGGAAATCATTAAAATTTCTGCTGATTCTTTAATTTAATTATTAAAAATCCAAACGCTATCGTTTAGCAGAAATGGAAGACAGCATTTTGCTCAGTTTCCCAAGTGCTTTCTAATGAGCTAGGTCTCGTCCCAAGACTCCGTTTGCACCTAAAATCGTCTCCTTGTGAGAATCCCCAGCTGTACCGGAACAGTATTTCCAAACCTTTCAAATTTTGCTTGGATTGACTTAAATTCATTCAATTTTTTGAATTGATCAATTATTGGGAAGGTTTCTAGATGAAGTCGTGAGGAGTCAAAAATAAGACTGGAGGAGACAGAAAATGTTCAATTTTACGGCGACCAATTCCATCCGGAAATTTTGCCCTTATCCATCGAGATTGACGTTTTCCATTTTGAAACCTACCTTAATAATTAGTTACTCGAGTAAAAAAATCGATTTATCTCAATCCACGCTATTCAAATTTCAAATTCCTATCCTTATCAAAGCACGGTTAACGACGAGAGAGTCAGGGAAACGTAGCCCCAAGGCATGTTGAGCACCTGGTCTATTGGTGCGCTAACGCTGATACGACAACTTACAACCTCCCTACTCATATTCTTGACAATGTCAATTGAACATCTGGCGCTCAGATCAGCAGTCTTATGAGAATCTTATAACTCATTATTCCACCCCCTGCCATCTATCGTAAAAATGCCTTGGTATTTCCGGATATTAACCACTTTCCTCCTGTTCCTGAATTTCGCACGACATGCGGATGGTGATGGACTGTCTTTAATTGGTAAGTGAACCGAGTTAACCTATACTATGACAAAGCTTTAATTTAAACAATCGATTTCCTATAATTGCTCGATAACAATTCATTAAGCCAACAAAAATTACGACCAAAATATAATAACATTTTCAGAAGGCTGCGGCGTGCCGGGAATCTGCAGACACGGTAAATGTGTCGATAATCCATGGCGTAAGTAATTTTTAAAGATAATTCCATGCAAAATAAGGCCGCCGTGATCGTTAATACATCAGAATTTTTATTATTCAGTAATTTTAGGTGTTCTGACATCGATTATTCCGGTCGTCCAGGTGAAGGCGACTTGCTTTTGCCACCCGGGATGGCAGGGATCCCGCTGCGATGTAAGTTAATAAAAGTCTTACTTTCTCTAAGTTAAACGATTTTGAACTAGTCCAAAATTTAAACGAGCATGACGGAAATTAGAGGAAACCAATAGAAACCCCGAACTAACAACATTTTCAGCTTGATATCAATGAATGCGAGGAGAATCCCTGCGACAATGATGCGATCTGCGAGAATACGGTAGGGGCAGCATACGTTAAAAGTGCATCTGTAATATTTCAGGCCGGTAGCTGGTTTTGCCACTGTCGCGAAGGGTTCCACGGTCAGCATTGTCAGTTCAGGTCGATGAAGCCGAGGACGGTGGTGCCTTTCCCGCCTGAAGACGGTCGGTATACTTTTTTGATTTTTCTATTTATGTCATTTTCACGAAGCCCTTCATAACAACTAGGAGTGTGCATTGCATTAATATAAACCAAGTGTATACCAAGCTTTTACAGCTTCTGCCAACATTGTCCCAACCTCGAAACCGGCTCCAGATAGCTTTCCGAAGCCCACAAAGCCTTCAAAGTCTTCGAGTACCTCTACCACCACCACCACGACAACAACTAGTACGAAAATAACTACTGCGACCACCACGACGACGTCGCCAAAAACCCCCGATACTACGGCCGCCCGCACAAAAACTCGCCCTGCACCAACCCCAAAGCCGATCCGCCCAATCCATCTAGATGTTGATACATTAATGGTAAGTTTCAAGCTACGTGAATTTCTGAATAGCAGAAAAAGCGCTCTTATGCGTCGCTATTTTCAGGAAACCCAAGCCTTCGTCAAATCAGCCGATTCTCGGAATATCTCGGAATACGTGGTCATCATCGCCAATGTTTCTGGAATCCAAGGCCAGCGGACGTTGGGCCAGACTCTGCAGATTCTCACCGCAAAGCTCGGCGAAGTTCTGGACGCATATGTTGAGGTGGCGCTCGACAAGAAGGACAGATTGCTCGTCTACGAACCGAATGACACCCAGATTGACAAGGTCTGAGTTTTTGCCTTTAAAGGGGATTTCAAGTCCAAACAAAGCATTTTTGACAATCGATTACGACAGGTTTTTAGGGAGCCACGGAATTCGATAACCCAATCAAAATCTACCTCGATGTCGTTGACCTGGAGGGCCGATTCGGTTGTGCAGAGGACATCGCGGAATACCTGGCGATGCCTAGGATTGCAAGGGCCCTGAATATCGTTTGGACTGGTGTGCAGGCAAAACCTACACCTCGATCTTATGGGTAAGTTGGCGTCTATACCTAGGTTTTATATACTAGAAGCTTGTTTAACTACGTGCTTTTAGTACGATCCTGGCCCTCTTGACAGCGTTCGCCGGCCTCGCTGCCCTCGCTGCTGGAGTTGTTCAAACCGCTCGTGTTCGGAAAGTGAACACTGTTGGCGTCTGGGAGATACCGAGAGATGAATCGGAATTCGGAGTGGCATACGGTAAGTAGGGCGTACCTCAATCGAGACTAAAACTCTTACAGGATCGAAAGCCCATTCTTTGGCTTCTTCTGCAGCTACGTCCAGGACTACAAGCCGAATTTTCCGCCTGTACGAAGCTGACGTCGGAGAGCCAGATCAACAAGCCCTGATTCAAGCCGTTCAGCAGAAGAATTGGTTGAAAACGAAGGAGTTTCTGGACAGGGGTGTAGATCCGGAGATACGGTACGTAAAATTAAACTGAATTTTGAATCTAACACTCGTTTAATGTTTAAATTATATATCGAATTTTAGCTACCAAACCACAGCTCTTCATGCGGCAATGGAAAATGTGGAAGCAGGATTCTTGCGTAGCCTTTTGACGTTTGATTCGATGAAAGCACTGGTGGGTTACCTGAACTTTTCAGAAGATCGAATTCGAAAATTAAAAGCCAACCATGAATGGGAATTTAGGTAAATTCTGTTGAGCGCCATAACTTAACGCCTCTGATGGTCCTCGCCAAATCAAAATTTGACGGGGTTGAGCCGGCGGAAATTCTTCTGGAGCATGGTGCACTCGTCAATTTTCCTGGGCATGAAGATCCCACTGTAAGTAATGATCGTTTTGACGATTTCGGGCCCATATTTTTGCGCGGCATTTGGAGAGTTAATGGCTTTTCTAATTTTTTAAGAATTGAGTGTTTAGGCTATCACCTTTATTTTTTTTTCAGGATACAAACGTCCCAGAATTTACCGGACGTACCGCCCTTCACGTCGCTGTCCTGTGCGAGAACAAAACGATGATCCACTTCCTGTGCAAACTGCAAGGAAAGCGCAACCTCTCGCATACGGAACGCCTTGAGAAGACGACTGAAAAGAACTGCAAGGACGCATTGGTAGGCCTACTATGCGTGACTTTTTGTACCGGATCTTTTCAATGCTCGAAAAATTCTATTCTTTTTCCTTCTAGGGTCAAACCCCGTTGATGTACGCGGCGAAAAAGGGGTTGCTAGAGATTTGCCAAATTTTGGTGGAGAATAAGGTGGCGTTGGAAGTCAAAGACGATCAGGAGAAAATGGCGCACGATTTGGCAAAGGAGGTATGGGATACGGTGTTTTTTGCTGGAATCTAATCACAATTTTCAGGCGCTAGTTTTTAGTAATAGAGAAGATCCCAAGCAAAAAAAACCATTTCAGGCTGGTCATCAAGCAATCGCCGATCTCCTGCGACCCGCTGGTGATTTCTCATTGGTTCAAGGATTTCGAGTAAGTTTTTTCGGTTTTACTATTATGCTCGGGATAACTATTAATCGGATAACCGAATTTTTTAGGAAGCGCAGAAGCGGAAGGTCCCTATGCGGAATCCACTTGCTGCCAGTGCCCAGGTTTGTGAATTTTCGAATATCTTTTACATCAAGAAATCTAGACTCTCTACCCATCGCCTCCTAACTCCAATCCGACAAAATCTGCCCATAATACGCCGAGTCCGCAGCAGCGAATGGTACGTCTTTTACGATTTTTGGAGTCGCGATAGCATCAATAAAAAATTATACAACAATAGTATAAAGTAAATAGTATAAGTATTTTTTTCAGCAACACCAAGTCAGCGCCCCGAACCTCGGCCAAATCGGAACACCTCCAACCCCACCGGATCAACCTGCCGGACTTGTTCATCAGCCCCAGTTCAACTCTCAGATGGCCATGACACAAATGGCCCAGATGCAGCACATGGCCCAGTGGGCGCAAATGGCGCAAATGACCCAGTTTACGCCGGCTTACCCCGGGGTGAACGGTTATGGGTATCAGCAGAATTTTACGGTAAGCATTGCATACGTTTGTGACTTGCGAAAGTTCGCAAATTCACCTAATTTGATGCATTTGACTTGAAAACTCGATATATGAATTAAATTTTTTCAGTTCCCCCAGCAATCGTTCTACTCTCCTGGCCCCAGCTATCCAAGCAACGCGGCCACTCCGACTGCCGGCCGGAAACAGTCCGGTGTTTAACGAAGTTTCTTTTTTTATTTGTTCTTTGCTGTTTTGTAACTCGGTGCTTGTGTTCAAATAACCGAACCGATCAGGTTGAGCCCTCAAACAGGACCCATTTGAGCTCGACCGGCACCAGAGGCCATAAATCTCATCTGTGAATCGGCTTGCATGTAATATTTTCAAAACCGTGAATTTTGTTGTATTCTGTGGTTGTAGAAATTTGTTTTATCGGATAAATGCTTAGTTTTCAAGGCGGGAAAGACAACGAATGTATGAATTTCGAGAAAATGCATGACAATATGTACAGAGTATAATATCGGAATGGCGTTCATGAAAACTACACGCGTGCAAGGTTATGGCGATTCTATGGCTTTTGTAGAGCTTATACAGGAACGAGGAAGCGGTTGATTCCCTGCCTTCATCGGTCCTTTAAAATCCATCAATCCTAACATGAATTTTTAGATTCAGTTTCACATTTTCTGGCAGTGGCAGTTCGTCAATATGGGTCCATATGCTTCGTTGGGACTTTTTGGAGCGCTCATTTTCGATGAGGGTGTTTCTAAAAGAATTTTTGGATGTAATAGAGTACTCGAAGACTTACCGTAATCTCCTGGCGACCAAAATCTCTGCTGGTAGCACTCGACGCCGGGCTTTCAGCGCTTTCTCGGCACAGAAATCTTCCACTTCTGGATGGGCCAGAAGGTTGGAAATTCTGAAAAATCGAACTTTGCAATTGTGCCGGGTTACGATATGGTTTTCCTGAAATCATTTATTTCCTTTGAAGCTAAATTATTGAGGTCAAAAAAGCCCAGGTAAAATCGAGATCATGTTAATTAAGCATCTGAGTCCGTTCTTCCCTGTTTACACCCTCCTGAAGAAACGACAAATGTCTTGTTTCTCATCGGCTTGACCGAGGCATTACCGTAGACGGGTTGAAAAAAATACCTTTACCTTTTCTTTTAAAATTAGCATTAGACCTTATCAATCCGTTTTTAAATCGTAATTAAGTAATTAAGTATTAAGTATTAAGTACATTGCTTACTATTTATACGTATTAAGTATTAAGTACCCTTGTTTACCACTTTGTTGTCCTGACGCGTCCCTCTCCTTTTGCAGGGCCCCGGGCAGAGACGCAGGCATTACGAGTCAGCCTCTTCCCAACGCTGTTCCCTCTCCCTTTGTCGCCCCCTCATAGCCCCGGACCCACTCCACCTCCTCCGTGCACCGTTGGTTCAGTGGTAGAATTCGCGCTTCCCATGCGTGTGACCCGGGTTCGATTCCCGGACGGTGCAACTTCTTTTTGCTTTTTTGGGAACGGATACTTTATCTACGGATTGGCTTAGCGCTTGATTTCCCGATTTTATCACCCCTAGGCTCGGGGTTAGCTATTTTTTCATACCTTTCTGTTAGAAGTTTTCCCGGAACCGCCCCTGCATCGAGGAGAAGCTGCAAAATGCAGACATTTCCGGCGATCACGGCTAGGTCCATCGCAGTCCGGCCCTGAATTAGGCATTTTGAGGTGCATGTTTTGACATTAAATACCTTAAAATCAGCCTGATGGATGTACGCTCCATGATTGATCAAGTGAAGCACCAGCATCTCGCGACCAAATCCTCGAGCCGCGATTTGTAGCGGCGTGAGCCCGCTCTTATCAGCAGAATTCAAATTTGCTCCAGCATTAATGAGAGTTAGCGTTTCTTCTTCTCTAAAAATAAGTTTTCTCGAAATTCCAGATATACCTTACCGATTTGCCATAATGGCCATATAAAGCGGGGTCCTGTTTGCAAAATCGGCTAGGTTTGGGTCAGCGCCATGGTGCTAGAAAATTCAAAATAATTCTAACGTTGATTTCCCTACCAATAACAAGTGCACAATATCGGTGTGACCGATTTTGACGGCAGAGAACAGTGGTGTTTCTAGACATCCAGCGTAAGCCTCGGAAAATGCATTGACATCGACACCTTAAAAATCGGATTTTTTAAATTTCTAGAATTTTTTCATACCTTGATCGATCAACATTTTCACAATCTCCACACTTCCATTTTCTACCGCTACAGCCAATATTGAGCTTTTCCGGAGGTTTATTTTCGGGTTGACTCGTTGATTGATGAGGAGGTGGCGCACCTAAAGATTACTTATCAAGGGACTGGGAAGTCAAGGAACTATCGAAGCACTAATGACCTGGTATGATGTTGTTTGGATTGCTGTTGAATTGACCGTAGCTAGCTAACGAAACGTACCAACTCCACCCTCCCGGATCGGACGGCAAAATAGAGATCTTGGATGAGGTTGAGCTGCGTGTGTTGTTCCCCTTCCACTCTTAGGAGTTGCGAATTTGATTGGGCCGTCGGGCAGACGAGCATGGCTTAAAAAGTCAATAATTAACATACTAAAGCCGAAATTCAAAACGGAAGCGGTATAAGAATACAAAAACTACTGCATGAAAATGCAGGAAGCATATAAAGACGAATATTGCGGAAAAGATGAAGCTCTAAAAATTTAGCCGATCCGATGTTTTTCGGCAGTCGTTCTTGAGAAGAACAATTTGCATAGCCCTTGAAAATCATGTCGGCAGCGCGTGATACACAAACAGTACCAGATGCCATGCAAAAACACAGACCCTCGAGAAGCCATTGTCAAGGAGCCACAGCTCCTCCTGGTGTATCTAGGTGACAGAATGACTCCCGACAGCCCCGAGCTGATGGCCTTTATGCATAAAGTGGAGGTGGCACTCGAGAAAGTGGAGCCCAAGCCTCAGACTCTACCTCAAAGTCGCCGTGCCGATACAGCCAAGGCCGATTTCTGCTCGCAAAAAAGGTGGGGGGGCACAAAAAGGAAATGCGGTCCCTTTCTCCGACCGCGGGTCAGCCAACCCCGTTTACTGGCCAAAAAGGAAAGAAAATACACGCCTTGTGATCTCGATTGGGGGACTAGTAAAATGGGATTCGCTAGACTGTAAAAGGCGTGGGAGGAATATTGGGTTGGCCGCAATGCGGGGGAGATGGCTGGCGATTTGGAGGAAAAACGAAACGGAAATGTTGCCAGAATAAATTAAAGGGAGGGCAAGGCTGAGATAGTGAATCGAAATTCAAGCGGGATTTATGGGGATTCAAGATATACTATAGGAAAAATCTTTCGAATTTTGCTAGGAAATCTCCGTCCTAGCCTAAGCCTAAGCCTAATTTTAACCCAAATACAAACCTAACCCTGAGCTTAAGTAATTCCAAGCCAAAGCTTAAGCTTAAGCCTAAGCTTAACCTAAGCCTAGCCTAAGTCTAACCCAAGCCTAAACCTAAGCCAGAGCCTAAGCTTAATTACGAGACTAAGCCTAAGCCCAAGCATAAGCCTGGCTCTATCAAAGATGAACTTCCAAAAATTCCAGATTAAAACACAACAACTCCAGATCCGATACCCGGATCCCTCCGTCCACAGCGCCCAGATCCCCATAAGGAAACAGTCGCCGCGTGGACATTCTCGGATCGACAAACAAACATCAAAAAGGAACGCCTGCGGGGATGCCGAAAACGGGAGTGGGTGGTGGATCCGTTGAGGGCCCACCCCTCAAATGATGATTTTCTGGAGTGATCCACGGAAAAACGCCTCTGTCCTCCCGGTATTTGCTTTGTCGCCCATTCCACACGGGTTCGAAAGTAACCCCTTCAGGCGATACGTCGCGGCTGGTTATTCATGTTTTCGACATGGGGTGCAAATATTGCGTATATGGGGGAAGTGGTTAGTGACCAGGGTTGTGGAATGGAATGGAAGGGGGAGGGGGAATGTTCTTGAGTAAAGTCACAGAATTGGAAGTATAGCTCGAATGGGGCTAAATCATAGGTTTGAGGTGAAGTTTTGCAACATACGATCCTCAATACACAAAAATATAGAAAACCTAGCAACTCGGTTGTTTGTTTTTATGGCTTAAACCAATGCAGTAGCCGTACTTACAGGAGTTTCGCATACCTTGCTATGAACAAAAATCGGAGAGTTAGGAAGAAGGTTAGAGGAAGAGTGAGAGATAAAGGGAGAGATAGTTAGAAAGAGAGATAATTAAAGAGAGAGAGCGAGAGAGAGAGAGAGATAGCCAGAAACATACAGGAGGCGGAGATTCCGGCCGACGGAAAGCTTAAACCAAATAAATTTGTGGAAATACCAAATAGGAAGCAGTTTCCGCCCAACACGACCAAATCAAGTTACGCAAAACCTAATCCAATTATCCGCATCAGCAGACCGTGGATAACAGTCAGGTGATTTGACAAAAAGACTGACAGACCGAGAAGCGGCTAAAATTTGAAAGAAAAGAGAGAGAGAGAGAGAGAGAGAGAGAGAAACAAGTAATTTTAACTACAAGACAGACGAATATCCAGACAACCTGATAATTGAAGATAAAGACAAAATTGTAACGACATTCAGACAGAAAAGTGCGACAAGTATCCATCAGCACCAGCCGTCTATTTTCACCCCTATCAGCTGATCATGTGACAAAAATGTCAAAAACGGCCAGAAAACCGAATCCACCCGGCGGCTCGTCCGTCTTACCGCCACCTTTCCGCAACCACCCAAATCACATGTCAAAGCAAGTTTTTTTTGGAAGGGCCGGCGGATGGGTTGGGAATGGCGATAATTCGGTTGTGCCCGCAGGCGGGAAGGAGGAACAAGTCGGAAGAAAGGAGGTACAATGGGTCGTCATGAGGAGCGGAACGGAACCTTTGTTTGTTTTTTGAAGGAACCTGGGTTAGGACGTATATTTGCAGGTGTATTTACTTGAAAATGTCTAGAAATTATGCGATGAATTATGTAAAATTGAGGTATACGAACGTTAAAGCATCTTTGGCATAAAAGGGTACTTTTGAAGAGTTTTGACAGGCTACCCCCCGCTAAACCAAGCGCCCTGTTTTTCGCGCCCAAACTGTTGACCAATAAAATGACCCCAAAAGCTTCAGCGCGCGGACCGGCGCGAGCACTACGTAAATATTGGTCAACGGCATTTTAGGGTCAGCTCACCGGTTCCTCGGACCATTTGGGAATATTTTTAGAGAGATACAAATAGAGGATGAGGCTACGAATTGGGGCCGTCGTACAAATCATAATTTCAGCAGCCAAAACCTAGCGGAAACCCGAACCGAAGCGAAGGCTAGCGTAAGGCTAAGCTTAAGCTTAAGCCTAAGCCAAGCTTTAGCCAATCCTAAGCCTAAGCCAAACCTCAAAATGAAACGGCTACGAAATTTCTGGTGCAGAATCTGCTGAGGCAGATGGTGAAGGCCAACCCAAAATGGGGCAGCGCCAGCTGGGTTAATTGTGCCCTGAGAAAATTTTGGAAATGAAAGAATGGAGGGGCAGGTAAGTCATTTCCGGCAGTGGTAATTGCTGAATCTGAAGACGCGGTTTCTGGAAATTTTGGGCCAAATGAAAAATCCTGATGAAAACGGGCGCTATTTCATGAATTTAGCGGCTAAAAAGTTATAAAACGGCAATTGGGCTTTCTTAAAACAACTTTCGTAAAAAGGTTACAAGATTAATAAAAGGGTTCATGGAAAGCGTTACAGGAATGGAAATTACAGAGCTGAAACAGCTGACCGACAACGAATTGGAACACGCAATTTTTCCCAGCGGCGGTCAGCACCCGGTGGATGACCGTTACGAGGTGCAAGTGGTACACGCATGCGCGTGAGGGTCAAAGCCCCTCGACCACCACCCCAAAAAATGGACCGGAATCTACTCGCACACCTCCGCGCTGCGCACTTCCAGCCTTTGACACCTCAAAAAAGGGCTCAAACAAGGCTCGGCCAACCTGACCACCACGCAGGTGCCGCGGCGGCGATCCGGCTGAAATTGGGGTCATGGCCGTGGAGGTCGAGGTGAACCAAAATGGGTGGTGGGATAATTGCGCCCAGCGGCTTTTTGCGAGTTCATTTGGATCAGGTATATAAGGAGGCACGATCATTGACATTGTTAAATCTTTTAAGCGTTTCCAGAGTAGGCATATTCGGTTGATCTCCAAGAAAAATTGGCAAGATTTCTTCAAAAATCAGAATTATAATGACTGAAGCCGAAGACGCCTGAAAAAGATGCTCAAAACTTACTCGAGCCAAAGCCTGAGCATGACCAAAGGCATAAGCTGAAGCCTGAACCTAAACTTCAGCGTAACCTCTGAACTGGAAGTTTGACTTCAGGCCCAAATTCTAAAAACTAAAAATCATAATTTGAAAATATCAATATCAAGTTCAAATTTTTTCCAATATCAAAAGGCCCCTTCTACAACAACCAGGATTAAACAAAAAAATTTAACAAGCCCGTGAGTCCACCGGGATTGCACTCTTCCCCCCCGCCCCACGCGGCCACCCTAGAGTTCCCAGACACCAAAAAGAATGTGATTCACGTCGTCGACAAGCACGAGAATTCCCACCCCTTCCTTTATATATTTATAGCTTCCCAGAGCGCGTTTAACGACAATATAAACCGGACGAAAATTTGAAAAAGATGGCGAAAAGAAGAGCGCGGAGCACAATAGCCTGAACCCGCTCAAACTACTCTAGGGAAATTATTGTATTGGATTCGGAGGTAAATATTGACCTTCTGAAAAATCGGATTATTGCTTTTAGATTGGTGGTAAAGGCGAGGGAGAGAGAGAGGGTGGGAGAGAGCGAGAGAGAGTGAGAGAGAAAGCGAGAGTTAGAGAGATAATTTTTGGAAGAGAAATGACGTTTAGACGTGGTTTCCACGTTTTTCCGAGTCGAAGGCCCTTATCGAGGCGGTCGGCGCGTAATTTTGAAGGGCTTCCGGGGATGCGCCGATGAATGAAACTGGTCAGTTCAGTTTTTGAGCATTCTATGAGGTCAAAGAAGGCGTACATTACCCGATATAGCCAAAATATGGCCTAGAGATGCTGTTAATTAAACTGAAAAGTTTAACTGGATTTATAAAAAATTTCGCCGGAAAATCCTCACTTTTCTGCCTAGACAACAATCAAAAAACACCCCAGACACCAAATCACTTGAGCCTGATCAAAAATGGCGGTCTGCCAAGTAGCTGCTGCCGATGTGCAGAGGCGTGTAGCGGAACGTCTTGCGAGAACCAGTTCCCCCAACCGAAGAACCCCCGAAAAGGAAGAGCGCCGGAAATCAGCTGTGCGCCCCGGTAGCGGGGCGCGCAGGGGTTCCGTATTTTGGGGGTCACCGGGGCTTATTTTGGACAAAGTTTACCCAAAGCACCTATGGGGGAAATGGGCCACAAGGGGATCGTCTTGGGCCCCGAAAATGGGACGCTATTGTGTAGGGACGGCTGGGCCCCACTGTGTCCTTGTTGTGGCGCATAGCCAGAGAGTTTTTGCCGGGTTTGGTCTTTGGACCGGTTTTGGAATGTTCGC